AGTGGGTGTGGCCACATGCGTCCGCCACATTAATTTCGGCACACCCCTCACACGCTTCGTGGCCTCATGGGGAGCTCCACCTAAGGCCACAGTGGGTGTGGCCACATGCGTCCGCCACATTAATTTCGGCACACCCCTCACACGCTTCGTGGCCTCATGGGGAGCTCCACCTAAGGCCACAGTGGGTGTGGCCACATGCGTCCGCCACATTAATTTCGGCACACCCCTCACACGCTTCGTGGCCTCATGGGGAGCTCCACCTAAGGCCACAGTGGGTGTGGCCACATGCGTCCGCCACATTAATTTCGGCACACCCCTCACACGCTTCGTGGCCTCATGGGGAGCTCCACCTAAGGCCACAGTGGGTGTGGCCACATGCGTCCGCCACACTCATTTTTCCAGACGAACTACCAACCGACCCACAATTCCTGGACGAGCACATCCAGGAAGTGCTAGCAGCGCTGGAGCACCTCGAGCAGACCGACAACCAGATAGAGGAGCAGAACGTCTACGCCTTCTCATCGCACGGCGACGCCAGACCCCAAACAACGACCACCGCACCCGCAAACAATTGAGACAATTGATACAGCAGGAGATCCGCGCGAAGAAGCGGCGGACACGACGGGCCCATCTAGCAACCGTGCTCGAACAGTTCAGAGACCTCAAAGCATCCCGCGCATCAAGGCACGTAAACAACGGACTCATTACACACACGACAGACAAACAAAGGCTCAACACGCACAGCCCGGCAAGATATTGCAGATGTATCTGCGCAGTTTTACAAGCACTCATGCGACACAACGGCCAAGCTGACGCGACGAGAGCGACGCGGCGACGACCTCCTACCTTCATTGGGGAATATTTGGATAATGCGATGAGAGGGCTCCGGCTTGATAGAGCTCCAGGCACCAAAGGCCTACGAGCAGACTTGTTGAAGGAAGGCATTGACGAATTGCACGGCGCACTTCTCCATCTCTAACACGATCTTCCAGTTCGACGCTCCGCCGCCATCCAGCTGGAACAACACTGTCGTCACGGTCATTCCCACGTGGGACTCTAACACTTCAGCAGAACTATTGGCCCATATGCACAATACCATTATTGATCGCTTCGCTCATTCCGCCGGCCCTCGAGCGATCTATGGGGCCTCTTTGAAGCCTCTTGGGGGCTTCTTTGAGGCCTCCTAGGGGCCTCTTGGGGGCCTTTTGGGGGTCTCTTGGCGCTCCTTGGCGGCGTCTTGGGGCCCCTTGGGTCTCTTGGGGGGCTCTTGGGGGCCTCTTGGGGCGGGGTAGTCGAGTGACCACCCCTCGGAGGCCACGATCCTCGTGAGGGGCGTCGAAAAAAGGCCCTCAAAACCATCTCTGAGTAGACCTGGTCGGGCTGCGGTCGGGATACTTTTCGCTGGGGGACCCCCAGGGGCCGCTCCGCGCGCGCGAACTAGAAATATTGTTACCCAGTTACCAGAGATCTTAGCACGCCTCTGGCCCGTTGGGCCGGCGAATTTTACAAGCTTTTCAGCAGGCTTGTCGACAACAGGCTCCAACCAACACTCGACTCCCGACAAACTGCAGACCAGGCCGGCTTCAGGCCAGGACACTCGACAACCGACCGCTTGTTCGTTTTCCACATCCTCTGTGAGCGCGCGCACGACTGGAACCAGGACTTGTGGATAACGGCGCTAAATTTCAAACAAGCTTTTGACACGGTCGAGCACACTAGCATGTTGGCAGCACTGGGGGCGCAGGGCGTCCAACGAGGGTACATCTCGCCACTCCAACAGCTGTACGTGGGACAGACGGCCACGGTCAAGACTGACGTCAGCAGCAGGTCCTTCAGTCTCTTCCGGCGAACAAGCAGGGTGGCCTGCTCAGTTTCTTTTTTCTCAACGCTTTGTTACAGCATATTCTTGCATCGGTAATGATCGACTGGCGAACAAAAAGGGCAAGGGAACCCAACTAGGATTCACGAGCACCTCCGCACTCACTAATTTCCGCTTCGCCGACGACGTGCTCCTGACCAGCCAAAAGCTACCGCGCCTCACCGCGATGCTCGACGACATAGTGCGCGCAGTGCGACCTCACGGACTTGAGGTGCACCTTTCCAGAACCAAAATATTCAGCAACCGGACCAGACGGACTGGCAGGGCAAGCTTGCGCACCGTGCACGCTCAGGACAGGACATCGATATCCTTCCCCAAGAAGGCAACACCAATCACTTCGGTCAATTCATCAGTTTCCACGACGCGATGGAGACGGTAATCCACCACCGCACGAGGGAACCGTGGGCAACATTCACTTCGTGCAAACAGGAGCTGGCAAGCAAGCGCTACCCGCTTGCACGACTCCGGCTCTTCAATCGGGCAGTGACACCCGCGACACTCTACGGAACAGAGACGTGGTCGCTCACGGAACCTCTCTAGCATTACCTGCGGCGAACCCAACGACGCATGCTCCGCATGATCATCGGGGCACCAATGCGACGCGCTACCCGCCAAACGACCCCGACGAGCAGCACCCATGGCCATGCGGACGACCGCACGACCACCCAAGCACTTCATCAAGAAACCGGCAGCGGCGACGATGCAGAAAACAACGCGCCCAAACGAGACACGACAGAACGACACAGCGAGAGCAACGACAACAACAATGACGAGGACGCGATGGAACCGTGGGTCGACCACATCCAGCGAGCCACGCGGCGCGCAGAGCAATTTTTGCAGCACCACCACATTGAAAATTGGGAGATGACGCGCAGGCAGAGGTTGTTGCGCATGGCATCCAAGGTAGCCAGCCACAATCCCACCATATGGACGTGGCGAACATTCCACTGGCAACCAGGAGAAAATTCACGCCAACATGGCCGGAGACGCCACGGCGGCCAGCACAAGCGCTGGGACGACGACTTCGTCAGCTTCTCCCAAGAACAACGACCGTACCTGCAACTGGCGCCCACGCCAACCATTGGGCAGGGATAACCAAACGACCTGACCTGGGTTCGCTCAGCTGAAGACACTTCCACGTGGTCGACACTCGAACACAAATACGTCAGCACTTCGCCGACACTCACAACCAGGACTTCCTCCTCCTCCTCTCCTCCTCGTCATAGCTTTTCTGTGTGTTGCGCAGACCCATAACTTCTTGTATGTTTCGCACCTCCTGTGCATGTGTGCGTGTCTACAGGAGGTCATGGCCTCACCCACCTGGTCTTGGCAGGCCCGGGGAACTGTCCGATGTGGTGGTTCGTTCGTTCGTTTAGACGTTTCGTGGCCCCAGAGGGAGCTCCACCGAAGGCCCCAGTTAGCGTGGCCACGTGCGTCTGCCACATTCAGTTCTGCACACCCCTCACACGTTCCGAGGCCCCAAGTGGAGCTCCACCTAGAGCCCCACTAGGTGTGGCCGCGTGCGTCCGCCATTTTTTTCGGCGCATTCGTTTCATTCTCCGTGGTCTCATAGGGAGTTTCACAGGAGGCGATGCTCACAACGCTTGTATTCACAATTGTATACAGTTGGGCATCTCGCCAGGGTATTTTTGTTGACAGGGATGGTGGGATGGGTGTTGGCATTGTTCCTGGTTGGCTGCCGCTTGCCTGGGGGGAGGGTCAGTGATGCATTCCTTTCCGAAAGAGAGGGGGCTTGGAAGACGAGCTCCCTAAATCACCCCCGCCCCAAAGGGCAGGTGGGATTCAGGATATCGGCTGTCGTCGTCGCCCTCGCTTGTCGCCTTCCCCGTCGCAGCTTCATTCGCATTCGCCTCGTGCGGGACCACAGAGTGCTTCCAGGACTCTGGCCCGCCCGCCGTGTTCTTACGGGGCCGTTCTTCTTGGACGACTGCCATTGCCTCGCCTCGCGGAGGAGGGTCGGGGCACCCGCTGGACGGCGACGTCCATCGGCCGTCGTCGCAGTTCGAGCCTTCTGTTTCTCCACTACCGACGATCCTCTGGATGCGTGTTAGCCCAATGTGTGCTTCCCCCGTTCAACTCCCCCGATAGCACGGAACACGCAGCACGCAGCTCATTATACGCCGCCGGCGCCGTGTTGGAGGGTTGCGATGGATGAGCACACGTTGGCGTCAACACACGTCTTGAGATTCATCTCTAGTCTCGGCCTCTGGAGAGCCGCCTTTGGGCCTCCAGCGTGTCGCTTCGTGCATCGATCCAGGGCGAGGCGCTGGCCGCTGGCCAGGATGGGCTCCAGGAGCGGTTTGTCGTCGAGACTCGATGACTCCGGAGGCATCGCGGGTCTCCGCCTTTGGACGGAGGCCGCCCTCGTGCCATGGCCGGGACAAGCAGAGATCGATCGTGGATTCAGCCTTGGCCGGGATGGGCTCGAGGAGGGGTCCCCGGGCCGAATTCGAGCGGGGCTTGATGGCGGTCGCGGGCGCAGGTGACGAACCCCATCGATCCTCTTTGCAGTTGACCGGGGTCTGGGAGCCACGTGGGGAGGACCCCTTCTTTCGTTGACCAGCTTGTGGACGGGAGGCGCATCCATATCCGTAGCCTCGTGGTCTGGGTTCTTGGGCTGCGAACCCATGAATACATGGCGGCTTTGGGTGGTTGCTCCGCGCTTCACGTATCAATCGGATGGCGCATCCATGAGATCGCACCACGGTGCCCAGACCGCGAAGGCCTGAAGATTCATGTGCTCGCTTCTCTTGAGCTGGCACGGGAGCTGCTGCGCGGCCAGCTGGGGTTCGCGACATGGCCCTCCTTGGCTGACCCCTGACAGCGCTGACCCCGGTCAGCCTGCGCCCTCCCTCGATCGGGAGCCTTGAGACGGGGGTCAATGCAAACGGGGGTCAGCCAGAGCGCCTGATCTTGCAGAATCCTGCAGGGCCAGGGTCGCATTGACCTGGGATTGGGTGCAGGATTCTGCAGGATCCTGTTGGATCCTTCGCATTGATGCGGGTTTGGGTGCAGCATCTTGCAGGAGCTTGCAGGATCCTGCAGGCCTGACTGACCCGGGTCTGGATTGACCAGGGTCAGACGATTCCCGAATCGAGAGGAGCGGGGCGTCATCGACGCGGAGGCGGCGCGGCTGCGCGCGGAGAATTTGGTGCCTCTCGGTGGACCAAAAGCAGCACGCAGCTACATGTTCGGACGTCTGCGCGGACGTCTTGTGCCATCGTCAGGGAGATGTTGCTCCCGAAAGAGGACGAGGCAACTGTGGTGGCCCTTCCAGCGTGCCCCCCTCTCCAGGTGGGAGTGTGTGCAGTGCGGCCCAGAGGCGACGGCACCCATTCGGATCTCAACTAGTTAGGACGGATTTCAACCTTTTCGGTACCAATCCTTACCAATTGGTACCCGTTCCAACCGCTCGGGAAGTTTCCGAGAGGTTCCTTGAGTAGTATCCGTAAAGGTTCCTTAGAAGTTCCCTCCAGATCCTTGCTGAGGAATTCTTTGTTGGTTCCTGGGAAATTCCGGAGGAAGTCCGACGGCATTAGTCAGCATTTCTGATGGCTTTCTGATGGATTCGTTAGAGTTGAGGCCAGTTCTGGTTTCTGTTCAGGGGTATCTCACGTTAGATCCCACCAGTCTTTGTCTGACGAGTCAGTGTCTGAGGAGTTGCGTTTCTGGAGGTTGGGTAATGACGACGCTGACTCCGCGGCAAAGCGTGCCCTCTCCAGACACGAGGTCGATGCGACGGCCGAGGAGGAGTTAGGTAGACACATGGAGTTTGCTCGGGCGTATTGTATTCGCTATGCACCTCCTCCCTCGTTTCCAGTCTCTCCGGGAGTTCGGTGAAGTAGAACATGTCAAGCCGTCTCCAGCTGTGCGGTCGACCGAGACCTCGCACCGTTGGAGGCATCTCGGGAGTTTTTGGAGGTGCTTTCGATGCCTCAAGGTCCATCGTGTTGAGTGGCCCAAGCGCCCCCCTCCCAGTAGGTGTACAGGAGATTGGGGTCTCCCGATGGCCGAAATAGCGGACCGAAAATACACATGTCTTAGTTTGTCATGTAGTGAGCAGATTTGTTGATCTGCCAGTTAAGCAATTGTTACAATTCCCAGTGTCGATTTAGAGGTGTCAATGAAGTCTGTTCAGGCCGCCCGTCTAACAATGTCTCGAGGCAGGCATCCTACGGGGCAAGATATTGCCGTCGATTGCCCTCTTCGCCTCGAGGATCTCCTCCACCTTCCCGTCACGGCCAGAAACCAATATTAGTCCTCGCTAGCCAGGGTCCCATCAGCCAGGTTTTCTTGCTCTGATTTTGACCTTGCTGAGGAAGAGCGGATCGAGCAGCAGGTGGAGTCTCTAGCTAAAGCAGCTTGCACTCCTGTCTACCCAGGACGCTCTCAACAGAGATCAAGTCCGCGCCCCGACGGTGCTTGCAAAGACAAACCCTTTCGGCAGTGATGATTCTGATTAAGTGGTGTTGCGTCTTTTTGTACGACGCCATGATCTTCATTGTCTCTGTGGCCTCTTCTGGCACGGCCCGATGCCACTGTCCAGTGGGCAGGCAACGGTGCAATCACCCCACATCTGGGGCGAGACCCAACCACTGTCCTGACGCTCCCTGCACCAGGGGTGGTTGAGCGTCGTCGTCGTCCTTATTTTGTCTCTGTTCAGAGCCGTCGCTCTGCCACTCGGGCCACGGGCCCTTCCCCCCCCCTGCCCGTGGCACGGCCGCTGGGCGGGGATGCGAATGACCCGCAGGGCAGGCATCCGTGCGCGTACCCCACATCTGGGGCGAGGCCCAGCCACCGTCCTGGCGCTTCTTGCACCTGGGGTGGCTGGGTCTCGTCGTCCTTGTGTGGGTGGTCGATTTGGGCTGGCTTGTTTTGTTTCGGTGGCAGCTCCTGCCACTCGGCGCACTGCGGCCCCCCCCCGTGCCTCCTCGCAGCAAGGCCGATCGGGTGTGGTCGGCGTTGGAGTCGCGACGTCCCTCGCGTCTCCTCGACCCCCTGCTTCCCAGCGCGTTGCAGGTAGGGTCCAAGACAGGGGGGCGTCGCCTCCGTCCCCGCTGTTCACTAGCTAAATGAGGTTGAAATTAGGACGAAACAGTCCTCGCGGGTTCTTGATGGGCTCTTGATGTATTACTGATGGGTCGCGCGGGCCGGTGGGGGCTGCGCCGGCAGGGCGGGTGGGGTTCTCCGCGGCCGACTCCGCAGTCGTGCTTTTGTTGAGTAGATTTGACGGACAGAGAGGCTTCTGTGTGCGCTCATTCACCGGCCCAGCCATGGGACGAGTCGTTCGGTGCCCGCCCCCTCTCTTGCGGTCGCGGGACTTTCCAAATTCTTGAGGGCAGCACCTCCAATGGAAGTGTTCCAGATTCGGAAAAGCGGGGCCCCCGTACCAATGGGGTGGAGGGGGGGGGCGAACGAAACGCCTTGCCCTCCGCCGCCGCCGCTGAGGCTTTGGGCCCCCGCCTCCTTTCTCGTGGGTGGGGATTTTCCAAGCCCCCGAGGGCGACGCTTCCTGGGGGAGCGTTCGTGCCCTCTGAGGTTCGCGGGGGCCCCAAAACCCACGGGGGGAGGGTGGCCGAACGAGTCGCCTTGCCCCTTGCCGCTGCCGCGTCGCTCGGTCCCCGCCTCCTTTCCTGCGGACGCGGGGCCCTTCCCCCCCGAGAGCGACGCTTTCGATGCAGCGCTTCGCGCCCTCGGAATTTTGAGGGCCCCCGAACTGACCAACGGGGAGGCCGGGGCGAACGGGTCACTGTGCCCCCCGCTGCCGCCGCCGAGTCGCTGGGCCCCCGCTTCCTCTCCGACCCCCCGATGACGACCCTTCCAGTCGAAGCGTTTCGCGCCTTCGGGGAATCGGGGGGTCCCCAAGCCCATATGGGGGGGGGAAGGCGGGCGGCGCGATTCACTTCGTGTTGCGCCGCCGCCACCGAGTCGTTCGACCCCGCTTCCTTCCCGCGGGCGCGAGCCCCAGGGGGCGGTGCTTTCACAGGGAGTTTTTCGCTCATTCGGGGGGGGGGGGGGGCGGACGGGTCACTTTGCCCTCCGTTGCCGCCGCCGAATCGCTTGGTCCCCGCATCCTTTCTTGCGGACGCGGGGTCATCACCCCCCCGAGGGCGACGCTTCAAATGGAAGCGTTTCGAGCCCTCGGGGTTTCGAGGGGGGATGGGGGGGGGCCGAACGAGTCGCGTTGCCCGCCGCCGCCGCCGAGTCGTTCGGCCCTCGCTTCCCTTTCCGCCGCCGCCGAGTCGTTCGGGCCCCAATTCCCCAGTGAACGCATGTTGAAACAGGTGCATCAAGTTTGAAAGCCTTCAGCCCAAGGCTGTGATTGACGCGCGCGTTTTAGAAGCCGTGTTGCAACGCATTGAAGATCTCACACATCGGCGGAAGCACTGAGTCGTCGGCCCGTTTCCTACCACAGTCCCAAGGGAACGCGCGTGGAGGATTATAGATTTCAGCTGGAGGCTTGGATTGTTGGATATCAGTGGCAGCTCGTTTTTGCCATTTGCGCATATGGAGCCTGTCGCCTGCATTCACGTGACATGTGAAGCCTGCAAGTGCGCGCGATGGGCTTCTCATCAGGATGGGTCTGGTTTAACTTTAAACGTGACGCAACTGTCGTACGAAAGCAGTCAACGTCTCATACGCTGACATCGAAACTCAAGTTTGGTATGACCAGTGCTTAGATTCAACACAACACAGTTCCCAGAGGTCAGAATGCAGCGAACACCAATGCCAACGGGGGCACTCATATAATCCCCCTGAATGCATCTTCGTCCGTACGACGTGCATTTGTCTTCTGAATCGTCTTGTGTTGGTGCACGCAGAAAAAAACCATGGTCGGCCCGATATGGTTGGTTGTAACTTGTACTAATTGGTTGCTTGGCCGGTTGAGAAGTGGACAGGTCGGTTGTACTTGTTCCCGATCGGTTGGGATTGGTCCGACATGTGGGGTAAGTCGGGCGTCGGGGCCCAGGTTGCTGAGCCGTGGCCGACTGCGCGGATATGCGCGCGTAGTTTGCCCGCGTAAGATGGTGCACGCACGCTTTCGTTGCCAGTGTAGCATGCCGCATTGGCGGCGTGCGAAACTCCCTGCGTCATGCCGTTTCGGGGGAGCGTAAGACCCGGGTTTGCCAGGACTCGGGTTCGCCATCGTTTTTTGACGACCGCGATTCGGATTTTGACGAGTAGGAGTTTCGTGGGATGTCTGCAGCGGGAGGCCTCGTCAGAATGCAGGCTCGGCCTCGTCATTTTTTTGACGACCTCGTCGGGGATTTCCGAGTCCCCTGTACCCGGGTCTTACGCCCCCTTGACCGTTGTGTCACGGTTACGCTGATTCCCATTTATTTCCATCGGCCTGGTGGTGGTGGGAACCGGTTTTGTTTCAGCTGGAGTCTTGCGTCGGCGCTGGGCCGCGCCGCCCATCGGCGCGCTCCGTGTGCCCGGGGTGGGGTGGTGGCCAGCGCCAAAAAGTCCTCGCGGGCCTGCGGGACTTCTTGTGCGGCGGCGTGCCCATACGGAGAGGCAGAGGGGCAGTGCCTTCCGGGAAACTTTCTGAGCCTTCCCCGAAGGCACTGGGGGCTGTTCAGAAGGCCGCAGGGCTTCCGAGAAGCCCCGCCGCCTTCTGACACAACCTGCCCCCCCTCACTTCCCCACTGGGCGCGTCGCCAGGTCCTTCTAGTCCCGCAGGGGGCATCTCCTATACCGACACCATGGTTGGCCAGAGCCATGGTGGGCCCAGGGACGGTGCAGAAACCGTCTTGGCCTCGGCCAGGAGGGTGTGCACACCAAGCCAATGCCCACGATGGCTTGTTGCAGGCATGGTAGTGGAGTATAGGCGCCCTTTGCATAGGTGTGGAAAACGGAGAACGACGACCTCCTGGCGCGGATGCAGGATCGGAGGCCAACAAGCTGGTGCCAGCTCTGGTGTCGGTCGGGCGAGATTTTTTGTGGTATCTCTATTTGCCCTTCCGTCGTTTTCTAGTAGTTTTGGACCACCTGAAGGACGCTTCGTCGCTACAACTGGACCCGCCTTGGAAGCCTGGTCTGAGCCAGTCCCAGGAGAAGTCAGGGGAGGTCGGCAGCATCGGTATTTCGCAAGCATCCTGTGGTGTTGGGTCTTCGCTTGGAAGAGGCAGCGCCCCGCGTGTTTCCCATCTCCTCTTCCCGCTCTCCCCCCCTCCTCCTATCCTTGCCTCTGCCCTCCGCACTAGTCAACCATGTCGGCACACCCCTCACACGTTTCGTGGCCTCATCGGGATCTCCACCGATGGCCCCAGTGGCTGCGCTCGCATGCGCCCGCCGCACCCATTTCGGCACACCCCTCACAGGCGTCGTGGCCCCATAGGGAGCTCCACAGATGGCCCCAGTGTCTGCTCGCATGCGCCCGCCGTGCCGATGTCGGCACACCCCTCACACGCTTTGTGGCTCCATGGGGAGCTCCACCGAAGGCCCCGATGTCTGCGCTCGCATGCCCCCGCCGCACGCATTTCGGCACACCTCTCACACGTTTTGTGGCTGCATGCTCCACGGAAGGCCCCAGTTCGGCACACCCCTCGCACGTTGCGTCCGCTCCACCCTGTTTTCGGCACACCCCTCATATGTTGCGCCCGCCGCACCCATGTCGGCACACCCCTCACACGCTTCGTGGCCTCATAATGAGCTCCACCAAGGGCGCCAGTGGCTGCGCTCGCATGCCCCCGCCGCACGCATTTCGGCACACCCATCACACGTTTTGTGGCTCCGTAGGGGGCTCCACGGAAGACCCTAGTGGCTGCGCTCGCATGCACCTCGCACGTTGCGTCCGCTCCACCCTGTTTTCGGCACACCCCTCATATGTTGCGCCCGCCGCGCCCATGTCACATCTGTGTATGGTTGGGTCCTTCGCCACGGTAATCTGATTCTTCAAGCCCAGAGATCCGCAATCCTGGTTGTTTCAAGACGGGGTTACCGTAAGTCCCGACCACTTCCCCATGGCTTGTTTTGACGGTCCTGGGACCCGACGAAGCCCCCAGAGGCTGAAAATGCAAAACTACTGCGTCTTGACCGTTTTGCTGCTCAGGAGGTCTGGGAATCTGGTGTCGTCTCCACCCAGTGGAAAGTTGACCGTCGATCCTCATTTTGGTGGAGGAGCTTGTATGCCACCCAACGGGGTTCCGAAGAAAATTTGGTACGCCGCGTGCAGAAGGGGCGGCGCCAGTGGCCTTCCGGTCTCTGGCGATGTGTTCTTCTCAACCCCAGCGTTCGCCGCCCCCATGGTATATCCCAGAGTTGTGCCCAGAATTTCTGGTTCCTTCGAAAACCCCCCGAAGTCTGGGATTGGGGGCGCTGTACCACGGCCTCGCGGGCCGGGCCTTGGGGCCGCGACCCTGTGGATGATGGGCGTTCTTGGCGGGGAGCGCGCCCCAGAATCCAGCCCGCGAGTGGATGTGGATACGTTCGCCGCTCGCGATGTACGGTGCCCCCCACCCCTCGGGCAGGAGCTGGCGCTGCCCCGAAGTCCGCTGCCCGCCCTCGAGGAGGGGGAGGCGCGGCTGGCGCTGACGGCGGCCGAGCACTGGGTGCTGTACCACCCGGCGCCGCCACTGGAGCAGAGCCCGGAGAGCATGTGCTATCCCCTGGGCGCCTGCACGGCACGCACCGAGCTTGCCCCCAAGCGCGGGGCCCCAGCTCCCCAGGGCCCACTCCGAGCCGATCGATCCTATTCGATACCGATTCCGGACGGCTCGACCCGGTTCGCTTCCGATGCTCCGGCGATCGGACGCTGCCCGAGGCTCGCATGGCGCCGTTGTAGATCTTGGCGCAGCCGATTCGAGGCTGACTGATCCGGCCTCCCATCTTCTGCGCCTCTAACAACACTGGGGGCATTCTTTAGCTTCGGCATTCTTTAGCATTCTTTAGCTTCGGCATTTTTTGGTTAGGTGGCATTCTTTAGCTTCGGGGGGACCGTACCGGGCCCCCCGGGGCCGTCCATCCACGGCTCGGGACGAAGAGCCGGCCTCAGAGGAGGGGTCGAGTCCTCCGGGGGCCTCCGCGGCGAGCAGCATCACGACGTCGGGGGTCTGGACGACGCCCCGCCACCCTTCGCGAGTGCGGGCGGAGGCTGCTCGCTCCCGCGTGTCCTTGCCGAGGTGATGCGAGCCACCCCTCCCCTCCTCTGCCTCTGCCTCTCGCGAGGGGGCGGCGGTCCCTGGAGGCCTCGAGGGGTCCAGCGGCCTCTGGAGGCAGCAACGCAAGCAGCAACGCGTAAGGGCGTCGATCTTCGATCGTTCGGGCCTGTGTGTTGTCAGCGTGGACTCCAAGCAGTGGGTTCTTGCTCTCTCGGTATGCACTCGGACTATTATGCGGTGTAGTAAATGTCGCCTGTTTCCCATCCGGGCGATACTGGGCGTGATTGGCCCCAGCCCCTTCCCCCCAGATCACGTCACGGCGGTCGTCCTGTAGCTCTCGCAGGCTACTGTGGTGTTCACTGTGGTGATCACAGGCATGTTTTGACATTCGCGAGGCAACGCCGGCGGTCACGCGCTTCTAGTCTTGTCAGGGACGCAGTGTTGCTCTGTTGCTCAGAGGCGTTGATGTGGCGCTCGTAGCGCTGTGGTGCAGGCAGGCACTGCGGGCCCGAAATACAGGGGGACCGTGCCTCAGGCCAGAAGAACAATATTCACATATACTTTCCGTTCTGACTTTCACATGGTCTGGTCCGGCACGTATTTCCAGAGTTTGGGTCCTGTCGACCCTGTTGTGTACACATGCATTGCGGTGGTCGCAGGCGACAGTAGGTGTGGTGCACACCTTTGCTGTGATTGCACACGCACGGGCGATGTGGTGCACGCAGGCACTGCGGGCCAACATACAGGACCATACCCTGGGCCAGAAAAATAAATTACCACACGTAACTGACAGATTCAATTCGATGGCTTCTGGCCCACCATACTTTTGCTGTATTAGGATCCCGCCAGGACCCTGGGTGGTCGCAGGTGCCAGTCGTTGTTGTGCACACATTTGCTGTGGTTGCACAAGCATCGTGTTATAGTCAAGTGCTGTGGTGCACGCAGACATTTCGGGCCGCAAAATACAGGGTGGTCTTGCATCTTGAATTTCATAATTCGGGCACACCACGATTTTCGGGACCTTTTGGGTGTACGTAGACTCTGTGGAGTACACAGGCACTGTGGTGCACGCAGGTTCCAGGCGCTCATCTGGGTAGGGGGCATCGGGTGAAATCCAGAATGCCGTTTGGCCCAAATTATCGCCGCGCATCAGTTTCCTTCACGAGACCGTTCGGGCAATTTACAGCAGTGGGGTAAGCGAGACACTCTGCGCCGACGCAAGGTCGCGCCGAGCGGACGCAGTGCCCGGATGCGCGAAGGGTCATTCCAGGCTCCAATCAATCCTTCCGCCCGTCGCATTCAGAGAGGCCATGGAAGCCCGTCCGCCAGCATCAATTGCACGCGTTTTTCGAGAACTGGAAAAGACATTCTAGAACGGCGAACCGAACTCTAGAACACACAATCTATGTATATTACAGCCACGTGCGTTCTAGAGGCACAGAAGTCATTCTACATCGCAATACCAATTCCACATCGTATCAAACGCAGACACAACATGGGTCCAGAACACCAGAACCAATCCTAGAACTACAATGCAAGCTCGATAATCCGAAGACTCGATTCTAGAACTCTGGATCCACCTGCCGGGCGACCCTCGCGTGCTCGTCCACCTGTCGGGCGACTTTCGCGTGCTCGTTCGCCTGTCCAGCGCCCATCGTGTGGTCGGAAGTCCCCGCGCAATCGTCCCAGACCCTGGGAGGGGCCCACACGGCGACTGACAGTCCTCACTATCGATCCCCAGTCGCAATCGCCGCATGGGTGTAGTGGTGGAAGCCCACTACTGCGCGTACGCATGCCGATGCACCACGCGCGGTCCATCTTGCAACTCAGCAGCAGTGAGCGAATGGATATTCGAAGTGCAGGCGTAGATACGGATCTCACCCGAAGCCCTGCGCCCCCAAGAAATCCTCAGGAGGTGCACGCGGCTGCTGTGATTGCGCAGGCATCGTGTTGTACACAGGACCTGTGGTGCATGCAAAAGCGGCTCCGTGTACGAGGGCGCAGTGGTGTACACGTTTTTGTTGTCTGCGCAGACGCTTTGGTGAACACAAGCACTGCTGTGAACACATGATCGCATGATGATGACGACGATGACGATTATACTTCCGAGGATGACGTTGACTATGATGGTGGTGATGACGATGATGTTGCTGCTGATACTGATGCTGATGATGATGATGATGATGACGATGCCGCTAAGGGTGATGATCATGATGCTGATGATGATGATGTTGATGATGATGCTGATGATGATGCTGATGATGCTGATGGTGCTGCTGCTGATGATGATGATGATGGTGATGATGATGATGCTGATGATGATGATGATGATGATCATGATGATGATGCTGATGATGATGATGGTGATGATGATGATACTCATGATGATGATGATGATGATGCTTATGATGAAGAGGAGGATGACAATAAGGACGTGTGGGGTGCGGAGGGGAGAGGCCAGGATGGGAGGAGGGAGGAGCGGGAGGAGGAGGAGGCGGGAGGGACATGGAGCGCTGTCTCTTCAACACGAGGACCCAACACCACCGAATGGTTTGGGGAAAAACGCTCATGGGATGCAACAAGTGTATCGTATATGTGACGCAATCTGTGAATTCCAGTCTATGTTGCTCAAGCGATGTGGTGAAATCTATATGGCACAAGTTGCGGGGTGCAGCGCATTCGCCGCAGTCCACAGAACGCTACCAATTTGGTGCAAGATTTGTTCTGCAATCGATGAGGCGCAATCTCTGCGACTCAAAGTCTGTGGTGAAGGCAGTGTGGTGCAGCCCATGCGGTTCAAGCAAGGGCTCCCACGAGGGCGCGAAGTTATTCGCGCTTCGCGCTTCGCGGTCCTCGTTCCTTCTCCTCCTCCTCCTCGTCCTCCTTTTCTCCCTTTGGGGGGGCGGCGCGAGAGCGCGAAGTTATTCGCGCTTCGCGCTTCGCGGAGCGCGAAGCGCGAAGTTGGGAGCCCTAGTTCAAGCTATGTGTGCTTGTGGAAACGCGAGCCAGCGCACGGAGCGTGGAGGTGAGCACGGGCGGGCGCACGGCGAACACCTGAAAGCGCCAGCTGGCGCACGGAGCGTGACACGTGGCGGACGTGACGCGGGCATTTGGCGACAATCCGGAACGGATGAAGTGAGAGCCCGTTCGTGCAGATAGCGTTTGTGAAAACAACTCGACGTTCGAGGGTAGCCTTCCGTCTCTCAGGTCCATGTCGATCCGATCGGTCCGATTCGCGATCGATTCCGGCCAGTTCGATCATATTCGAGTTCGATGTTACGACGGTCCGATGCGGCCCGAGCGTTTGCATGGCGTTGTTGTGCATCCTGGCGCGGACAATACGATTCGATTCTGATTCCGTGCCGATGCAGTCCGATCCGACGCACCTTCGATTCGACCCGATTCTTCGAAGTTGATTGGTTCTGACGCAGGCCTATGATGAGGATACAACGCTCCGGAGCTTTCCAGAACGCCCTCAGAGCGTTCTGGAGCGCTCTGGAACGGCCGCGTGGCTCGATATATCCTTCAGACCCGCCCGCTCTCAGAGATTTCCCATGCATCCTTACCCGAACGTCCTATCCTGATCCTGGCTGCGACTTGCATTCCGATTTCGATCCGTTTTTTTCGGCTGGACGCCGACGGATCAGCGAGGAGGGGGGAGGGGGTCAGCGAGGAGGGGGCAGGGGCAGGAATGGACCAGAGAACCAGTGCCCTGATTTTTTTCAATTCGGAATCCGGGGAAGTTCTGACCTTTCTCCTTCGAGTGGCTGGTTCCTCCCGCCGAATGTTTTTTGGCGGTTCCGGGGCCCGAGGCCCCCGGAGGCCGGAAACTTGGAAAAATCTCCGGTATGAATTTTCCAACACGATGAAGGTCTTGGGGAAGCGAGGCAGAGTCGTTCCAAGAGAGGAATGAGGAAGGATGGGGTCGGGTGTTGTCAGATGCTGCCCTGGCCCAAGGTTGTCCCAGCATTTCCGGGGAGGCGCAGACGGCTTCCAGATCACCCCTCAGGAGGCCCACAGGGCCCCAGAGGCCTCACACTTGCGCGAAAAGCTGGTAGCATTTTGGGCCAGGGCCACTTCTAGCGACGCCCAAAGGATGGAGGAGGGAGGGTGGGGGAGGGCGGGGCGCTGCGCCGACGGGCAGGGCGCCAGCGTGCCAGGGCCCCGGGCCACCCAGCTGGCCCGCGGATCTGGGAAGGCACACCGTCCGGCTGCACGGCCTGGCGGGCCAGGCGCAGCTCTCGGCGTCGCCGGCCATGGTCCGCCGCGGCCCACCCCTCTCCTCAGATAGTAACGCCCAGGAGCTTTTGTTCAAGCGGTCGTTCGTCCTGGGGCGCAGCAATTGACAGCGAGTGGCAGCAAAATGACGGGGGCATGCCAGCAAGTTGCAGCAATTGGCAGCATTTTTTTTTTGTTTTGTGTGTGTACGCGTTCGACCATACATGCGTCTGAAGGTGATTGAGTCGGAGCGCGAGATGTGTGAGTATTAATATCAGAGTAACCGTAAGTCTTCCTGCTCGGGGACTCGCCTGTGAACGGTCTATGTGGAATGTTCGTTGGGAAAGGAAGGCAACGTTAAGCATGGGAGCTCGCGATTGCGCGGCCGCTGGTACTGTCTTCGAGGAGTGAAGGACATGGCAGGGCCTGCCGAGCATGAGCAAGACTTTGCAGGGCTATCGGCGCTCCACGTGGTCTCGCATGCACTTTGAAGGCTGTTTGCGAACGTTTGCGAATGTTAGCCCGTGTAGGGTGATTTTTGAACAAGTTTGTTGGGGAATAACTCAAGTGCAGTCTGACAGTAGTTTGGAGGTGCTCTGCGCACGCCTGTAAGCACTTTGGAAGCGCTCACCAGCACTGTGCGGTGAGCGACGCGTCGCGTGACCAGAAGGCTTTCGACGTGCGTGCAAACGTTCGCGAGTGTCGCAAATGTGCCCGGAAGTGATTCCAATGTGATTGATGCTTTTGGCGACGGTGCATGCAAATGTTCGCAAACCCTCGCAACATGTGTTTCGAAGTGCCTGAACAATCTCGGAAGTGTTTCCACAGTGCTTGCCGATGTTCGCAAACGCTCGCGAAGTTCTTCGGTACTGCCCCGAAGTGCTTGCAAAGTGCTTGGGAACTGTTCGCAACGCGCTTCCAAGCAGCTGCCAGGACTTTTTCGGTACGGTCCAGGGCATGTGCTAAACGTGCCCAGCGTGTTTCCGAGGCACTTGGAAACGTTCGTTGGCTCTCGCGAAGTATTTCAAACGTGTCCAGCAAGAAAGGAGGAGGGGGAGGAGGAATGAGGAGGAACAACAAGAGGGGAAGGAGGAGGAGGAGGAGGAGGAGGAGAAACGGGAGGAGCTTGCGGAGTCGGATTCGGAGGGTTCGGACTTGGAGCGAGGATGGGGGTGGAGGAGGGCGGGGAAGAGGAGGGGGAGAAGGATGAGGAAGAGAAGTTCGGCGGGGGATGGTGGATCGGGAGGAGTGCGATGGGGTAGGAGGGACATGAGACGGAGAAGGATGACGAGGAGGGGAGAAGGACGATGACTACAGTAGGGTGCGAACAAGAGCACCTGCAATGATAATGAGACTACGAGTAGCAGCGGCAGCAACAATAGTTGTTGCTTGCCGGTGTTATGGTACTTGCTGTTGCGCACGGTGCGAACCCTTTGCCGGCGCCTGGGGGGGCACTTTTGGTGGACGCTTTTTGGCCTTTTTCATTCGAGGAAAGCTCCCATGAGTTTCACCCTAACTCTCCGAGCGTGGGTGCCTTTTTTCAGCGGCGCGCCTAGAGGGGACAGCCCAGGGGGTCGGGCTTCTCAAGAAGGCCCAGAAGAAGGCCCCGGGCCCTCTGAGACGCTTGAGAAGTCTAGTCGCAAGCACGGCTTCCCTCGAAGAAGAAAGAAAGAACATTATAATCCAAGGGCTCCCACGAGGGCGCGAAGTTATTCGCGCTTCGCGCTTCGCGGTCCTCGTTCCTTCTCCCCCTCCTCCTCGTCCTCCTCTTCTCCCCCTTGGGGGGCGGCGCGAGAGCGCGAAGTTATTCGCGCTTCGCGCTTCGCGGAGCGCGAAGCGCGAAGTTGGGAGCCCTAGGCTTCCCTCGAAGAAGAAAGAAAGAACATTATAATCAGATTTGTTTGGCGCTCCGCGCGGGTTTCTTGGATCCGCGCTGGGCGTCAAAGCTGTGTGTTGATGCCGACGAGCGACAAGCGGCGGCGGCGGCGACGACGGCCTTCGCCGGCAGGTCTCCTGGCGCCGCGGGGAGCGGGTCGGCTGGGCCGCCGACTTGGTGGAGGGCGGGGCCTTTGCGCGCGCGGCGCTCCAGGCGTACGGTTGTCAACGGGTCGGCGTCTTCGTCGTCGTCGTCGGTTGTTGCTGGTCGTCTTCGTCGTCTTCGTGGGGGTCGTCGTCTTTGTCGAGGTCATCGTCTTCGTCGTGGCGTCTTTCTGGTCGCCGTCTTTTTTGTTGTTCTGGTTGCCGTTCGGTGTCGCTTGCCCTTGCGTCGTTCGTTCGTCGTCGGTTCTTGTTCGTTGTGCTGTTTCGCCCTTTCGCTCGTTCCCTCATAGTCACTGTCGCTCGCCGGAGTCGTCGGCCGCGCGGCGCTCCAGGCGTACAGGGTCCACGACACCGACCGGCAGGGGTTCCCCGCCTGGGGGGCGGTTGGGAGGCACGCGATCGGGAGTTCGGAAGTCTCAGGGGAGAAGAGTTTGAGGTCTTGCGTTTTGGAGGGGTTCGGGGCGTCGCCGCGGCCAGACGCGGCTCGAAGAACTTGCCAGGATTGAATATCCAAACTAGCCAGGCCAATCCCATGTTAGTTTGCAGCTCCAGGGGATTTCCAGTCAGCATCGGCGCTAGTAGGTCCTTGCCTGCTACGGTGCGTAGTCGGAAACGCTGCGGCTTTGTGGCCCCTTAGTCGAGTCTAATCGCCCTTGCATCTTCCTGCGAAGCCCACCCAGGAGTTGGCCCCCGACCTCTGAGTGGCGACGCCGAGCCAGTCGCCCGGAAGATGCCGGGCCGCCGAACAAAAATGAAGAGATACCCTGGAGGCCAGCCAGCGTGAGGGGGGGGGCCATGGGCGCTTCAGCTCAGGGGCTCCGGGCCGGCCTGCAGGGGCCCAGGCCATTTTGAGGTATTGATGATCGGTGTGGTTCTTCATTGGACTTCGCTGGGCCCTGGGGCTGTCAAAAAGGCGGGGCAAGAGCATGACCACGAGACGATGTTCGCAGCCACCACCGCGTGTAGTATATAGTGAGCAAGCCCTCTCTGAGGGGGTAGGTTCGCGAGCGTGAGGTGTCAACCAAATTTGTACACAGTGTTTCGGGTAACTGCCAGCAGACCTTGGTGTACATATGCCTACTTCTGTGTAGGTGTGTATGTGCGACTGGCAATAAACAGCCTGTAGTGAAGAGCTAGTCCCGGGGAGAGGGTCGGGACTCCGGGGGGTCTTTAGCATCGAATAAATTAATGCATCGGATCTTTTGTCAGGCCGCGCATGGCTGGGCTGGCCGCACGGCGTGGTGAGGCGTGGAGCCTCTGTGCTGCATTTTCCAGGGCCTGGCCTGTCACGAATTTTGTTGGTCCTTTCCTTGTATTCGGCGCGGATTCGATGTGGACTCGGCGTGGTATTCGACGTGGACTCGACGCTCGCCGTGAGCTCGGCACGTGTATCCGCCCCCCGAACGTGCGACACAGAAGCCTGGCCGCCCAGACGAGGCCTCTGGAGGCGGGCTGGAGTCAGGGGCGGCGAGAGAGAGATAGGCTCAGGGGGGCTGGGTGGGGCGAGCGCATCGACCTCCGATCGGCCTTTCATCGCCAGCAGTGAGGGGGCCTGGCACTCCGCCTCGGTCAGGATCGCTCGGCCTCGCTCCCGGGGGCCCATCGCCGAACAGTCGGCGACGTACCGCCGATTCGTGGACGATGCCCTCCCCCGTCGGCCGCCCCCCCCCCCCGTCTTGGCTGCGTGGAGGCCCGGCTTGAGGCCACATTGGGGCAATCCAGAAGCCTCCTGGGGCCTCCTTGAAGCACTTTTTGATGCATCGGGAGCACTGCTCGGCCATCTGGGGGCTCCGTGTGCGTCTCCTGTGAGCCTTTTGGGGCCTGGTGGGGGGCTTTGGGGGGCCTCGTCGGACCACTCGCCGCCCCCCCCCTCTACCCCTTCGGCCGCCCCCCCCTCCCCCTTCCCCTCTACCCCTTCGGCCGCCCCCCCCTCTACCCCTTCGGCCGCCCCCCCCCTCTACCCCTTCGGCCGCCCCCCCCCTCTACCCCTTCGGCCGCCCCCTCCCCTCGCCCCCCCCTCCCCTCCCCCTTCGGCCGCCCCCCCCCCTTCGGCGCCCCCCCCCTCTATCCCTCCCCCTCGCTGGAGTCCGGCGGGGCGCTCCACCGACTCGCCGAGCCCTCCGCGCCTGGGCCAGGCCCGGGCGCGGCGCCTGCATAGGGGGCCCTCTCCTGGGGCGCGGGCGCCCCCGGGTGCGGCTCGCTCGTCGGAGCTGCCAGGAGTCGGGGGCGGCCCACGAGGGGGGGGGGACGGGGGGAGGAGGAGGAGGGGGAGGAGGAGGAGGAGGAGGAGGAGGAGGAGGAGGAGGAGAGGGAGGAGGGGGAGGAGGAGGAGGAGGAGGAGGAGGAGGAGGAGGAGGAGGAGGAGTCGGGGGCGCCCAAGAGGGGGGTGGGGACTCGGGGGGGGGGGGGGGGGGGGCACGGCGAGGGCCATGATGTCTCCCCGGATCTCATGGCCCCTCTTCCCATCTGAATGCGTTCCCTGGCCCCCCCCCTGGTCCGCGCGCAGGCCTCGGGCCATGATTTGACCTCCCCCCCTCTCGGACACCCCCCTCCTTGGCAAGGGCTCCCACGAGGGCGCGAAGTTTTTCGCGCTTCGCGCTTCGCGGTCCTCCTTCCTCCTCCCCCTCCTCCTCGTCCTCCTCTTCTCCCCTTTGGGGGGGCGGCGCGAGAGCGCGAAGTTATTCGCGCTTCGCGCAGCGCGAAGCGCGAAGTTGGGAGCCCTAGCTCCTTGGACGCCCCCGAGAGAGACAGGGGATGGGGCCAGTCACCTCACCACTCGCGCCGCCGCCTGGGAAGGCCTTCTAAGGAGGGCCAATGGCCGAGCGGCGCCGCGGGGGGGGGGAGGGGGGCGGGGCCGGTCGCGGGCGTTGGCGCGAGTATCAGGCCCCCGGAAACCAGGACACAGATAAACCAGGACACGGAACACCAAGGAAACGACATCGTTTCCTGCAAAGTCGCGTTTTTCAGCACCCGTGCATGTTTTGTTTGCTGCACTGCAGGATTCGGGATTGTGTCCGGGTTTAGGGGGGTCTTGCAGGCTTTTTGAGGCCTGTGTCCGGGTTTATTCTGGAAATGCTGCAGTGCAGTACTTTGTTCGTGCCGCCGTTTGGAAAAGTTGGTTTCGAGGAATGTTGGGTGTCCGGGTCTAGCGTGTCCGGGTCTACGGGGCCCTGAGAGTAAGAGAAGAGTGGGCTCGAGGATGAGGTCGGAGTCGGCGGCAGGAGACTCGGCTCGGGCGGGGCCAGGACGGGGATGCATCTGTTCCAGAGCCAGAACCGCCGGATCTCAGAGATTCTCGAATCATCTTCCTCCGAGCTTATCCTCGTCCTGGCTTTGCCTTGCTCGAAGATGAGGTTGAAGTCGGCGGCAGGAGATTCGGCTCCGCCCTCCAAAGCTGGAGCCAGCGCGCCGAGGTGCGCGAGCAGGGATCGGGTCCGAGAGACGAGCGCGCCCGTCTCAACCTCGAAGGGACCGCTTAGCAAAGAGTGCCAAATGCGCCTCTCAACTGCTGTTAGGGGTTGAGTAGGGCCGAGGGTCAGAGAGCGCCTTCCTCTGCAGGACCACCGAACAAACACGTCAAGGTGGTCAAACGCCTCGCTGGTTAAGCCGACGAAGATGTGCAGAATCTAGCCATTCGTTTATGTCCAAGGTTTTTGCTTGTCGCCAGGTGTGGTACATCAGTTTCAGCTTGACCGGACACGTTGGTTGCACCCCTTGACGTCCGTTTGGGGTATTCTGCAGACCTGACCCCAGTCCTATTCAGATTCAGGGCCAGTCAGCGATGACTTATCGTCGAAAGCCACCTGACGCCGTCGGCGTTAATTGCGACGGGACTGGAAGAAAGACTGACGAGACCCAGGGATCCTCTCTCGGGCGGACGCCGAGTGCAGCTGGAGCAGGTCCAGCCGGAGGGACCCCAACCTGTGGGCCTCCATCTGGACTTGGTCTCCCCCGAGGGTCTGGGCCGCCTAGGTGGGGAACAAGTATATCTATGTGAGATGCGGCGATCGCGCCGCAACGCCGATATGATGTGGTGCTATCATGATCCCGATGTTGTGTGCGTCCCGACGACGCCGGAGCAGCATCGCATGTTCATCGGCGACGCGGCGCGATTGCTCGCGGCGGCGCAGATGCGGGAGGGTTCCAAGATAGGGCCCTGAGGTTAGGAGGCCTCAGACATAAAGGTTCGTAAGTGATATCCGGCTTAGGTTTACATTGTTCAAGGCCTCCTCGCCCTACATGGCCCAACGTCTTGGGGCCCCTTTTTCGAAGTGCCGGCAGAGAGACGGGACGAGGAGGAGGATGAAGAGGACGAGGAGGAGGAGGAGGAGGAGGAGCGCGAGGAGGAGGATGAGGAGGAGCAGGAGGAAGGGGAGCGCGAGGAGGAGGAGGATAAGAGGAGGGGTTGGAGACTCTGGAGACTCTGCCTGATCGCGTAGCGATATGAGTATAGAAGTCCGCCTGCACTTACTGCGGTGCTGTGACATGCTTACATCTGTGGACGGTCTCAGCCTGACTGAGCCCCTAAGGCCAAATTTCCAGCCCAGCGTGGAACCTTCTTTGATGGGTTCTGTGAGCCCATCCCCTTCTACATGGACCTTCTTCTTACCCAGGCAGGTGCCATCTGCATGTACAACGTTAGAACACTCACTACGTAACCATTCAGTACGCTTGGCTACTGTCAAGGAGACTCTACAAGCAAGACGCTTTCGACCAGGGTCGTCGAGTTGGTGGGCGGAGGCGAAAGCAGCACAAAGGAAGGGGCGCCAGCTCGGACGGGTCTCTTTACGGCTTGTCGGGGCCTAGCTCCCAGCCTATTTTCTTGAATCTTCAATTGGCGCTCGAACTCGAGGGCCTGTATGGTGGACCTGAGCAGCCTCATCCTAACTAAAAAGGCACGGTGCTCGACAACCTCAATGTTTGGTCGCCCTGCTTCGCTCACACGGTGCTCCGTGGCCTTGAGGGCGGCTAGTTCGTCTGCAAGTGTGTCCCCGTACACGGAGGAGCGACAAAAAAAACAGCATGGCAAAACATCGTGCTCAGTTTGGTGCGATCTTGTCCACAGGACGACGAACTGACCTCCCCGAGAGTCGACGCGGCGGCCGATCTCGTGCCACAGGTCGGCGTCTGGCCCCTCGGGTCATCCAGGGTGCCCGTTTTAGGAATTCAGGTAGGAAGTCTAGCTCGGTGCCCTCGCAGTCGGTGACGCAGGTAGTGTCTCCTACAGAGACCGTCAACAGCCAACTCGCCTCGCACTACAGTCTGGTGCTCGCCCTGAAGGGGCCCCTTGAGAGCGCCCTGCAGTGCCGCCTCCTGGAGGTCGTGGCAGCTCGAGGTGGCCACGCCTACGCGTCGAATGTGCGA